GATCGCTTCATATATATAACCCCAGCAGCACAGACATTAAGGGCAACATTGAATAAATGGGACCTACTAAAACTGAGAAGCTTCTTTAAAGCAAAGGACACTGTCACTAAGACAAAAAGGCAACCTACTGACTGGGAGAAGAGCTTCACCAACCCCGCAACAGACAAAGGTCTGATCTCCAAAATATATAGAGAACTCAAGAAACTAGACTTTAAAATGCCAATTAACCCAATTAAAAAATGGGGCACTGAACTGAACAGAGAATTCTCAACAGAAGAATTTCAAATGGCCAAACGACACTGATGAATATCTTAAATATCACCATAGAACCTCCATCCAGCAACTAATGGAAACAGAGGCAGAGACTCACAGCAGATCACTGTGCTGAGCTCCCAAAGTCCAATTGAAGAGTGAGAGGAGTGAGAATATGAGCAAAGAGGTTAAGACCATGATGGGTGCACACACTAAAGCAGTTTACGTGAGCTAATAGGGGCTCACCAACTCCAGTTGGACTGGGAAGGAACAAGCATAGGTTCAAACTAGTGCCTCTGAATGCAAGTGATAGTTTTATGGCTTAGGCAGAAAGCAGGGTCACTGGCAGTGGCACCAGGATTTACCCTACTGATTGTATTGGCTTTTTGGAACCTATTGTCTTTGGATGGATACCTTGTTCAGTTTAGATATAGTAGGGAGGTCCTTGAACCTTCCCCCAAGCAATGTGCCTTACACTCTCTGAGGAGTGGTTGGGGGTGGGATGGGAGAGTAGGTGGAAGAAGTGGGAGGGGGAAGGAGTGGTAACTGGGGTTTATATGTAAAATGAAAAGGATAGTTTGTTTTTTTTAAAGAAATTATTAAAAAATTAATCTCCTACAAGCACGCCCAGAGAACCATCTCCCAGGTGATTCTAGATCGTGCCAAACTGACAGTTAACACTGACCATCACAGATGTCCTCTAATCAATGGACTTGTTGGCTATTTTGTGGAGATGTATAGTGCTAAAAATGTATTTGTGCCTCAAAAATTTGTAATTTGGGTGGTATTCCTTTCAATACGGAAAACTAAAGACAGTGTTTAGGATGAAAGAGCAAATGTTATTAGTTTTATTCAAATAGTATCTTCTCGTGTTAGACCATGTCAAAAGTTCTCTATTTTCTATGCCCCTCAGTCTCGTTATGTATCTTTGCCACGTGGGCATAAATGTTTTTAGTCGAAATCAAAAGTATCTTCTTTACTAGTTTTGTGCAACCTCTCCATACTTCCCCATATATTAGACAGACAAAACTGTTGAAAGATATTTTAAAACCACCTCATTTGTTGCTTTCTGGCCTCACTTCCAATACTTACCTTTAAATAGCTTGAATTATCAGTGTCCAGAAAGACTATGATTCATTCATGTTCAATATATGACCTAATAGTCTTGGCAAATCAAATTCTCTTGCTCTTTGAACCTATTAGGAACCACCCCCAAACAATGAGCTGCTAACCTGTCATGTTCATGCTTTCTCTTTTAAAGCCTTGGTCACATTTTTGCAGGTACACTTTTGATGTGGTATTCCCCTCTCTATGATATGAATATGTTTTATTACCATTGGTTAATAAAGAAGCTGCTTCAACCTGTAGCAGAGCAGAATATAGCCAGGCTGGAAGAGATATAGAGAGAGTAGGTAGAGTCAAGGAGATGCCATAAAGCTGCAGAAGGAGAGAGATGTCAGATCCTTACTAGTATTCCACAGTCTCATGCGGATACACAGATTAATAGAAACAGGTTAATTAAGAATGTAAGAGCTAGCTAGAAATATGCCTGAATCACTGGATGAACAGTGTTGTAATTAATATCGTTTCTGTGTCATCATTCAGGTCTGAGCAGTTGGAAAAGAATGACCCACATTAATGGAAAAATTGGCTTCTCCATGTAATAACTATAGCAAAAATTTAAATATATCTTGTTAGAACAGAAAACATGTCAATGCTAACATATCCAGCAAACAGACTTACGTCTGAAGCCAGGCAACCCTTACTATTGCACAGGACTGTGGGAGGCCACACTTTTTCCTAACACTGTGGATTTACTCTTTTCTTTTTTGCTTCCCTATACCTTGTTGCCACATAAACTTGTTGATCCTGTAGGTTTTCACAGAGATAATACAGTTTCTTACAGCAAAACTAATAATCAATATAATGCTATGTAAAATTTTCTATAGATCTATAGTGTTACAAGTAAGACTTCAATTCAATGCTTGGACCTAGCAAGGACTCTTAAACATTACTGGTCCTCAAATAACAATGGACAATCTGTTGTTTGCCTTCATGTCACAAATACTCAAGTGCCCTATATGTTACTAGTGTATGTATATAATATATTCACATAAGAAGAGTTTAGACATATAAAGTAAAATGGCTGTGCTATTTAGTTGAAAAATAGAAATAAATAGCGTGCATTACTATGTAAAAAGAATGTAACTATGGTTTCTACAGGCATACCAGTAAAGGTATGCCAGTTCTACAAAAATAAAGCCTGCCCTACATCCATCCAGATCAGTACTGCTGTTCAAACGTGTGGAAGCTCCAATTTTTCAATTTTGAAAATAAAAGTCAACAATGCCCTCCACCCATCAGCAGAAGTGCAAAGTTAACCAAGTACAAAATGAGTTGAACCATTCAGCATGTTTTGAAATTTTAATTTAATTTAAACAAAACTTAAATTTTGTGTGGCTTATTTTATTATCTCTTATAACAGACACAGGATGCTATTATTTTCAGTCTTAGTTTTCATATAGACAGAAAAGATAAAAAGAAAACATTTCAAATCTCTCTTGATGTGCAAGACTAAAATATCATAAACCAAAATGACAGTGTATGATTTATGTGATCCAATTACTCATAATTTGGTTGTTTTTGTCATAACAATCTGTGCTGAGATGTAACAGGAATGTGAGGGAAAAACAACAGCAAGAATGATGTGATTTTAAAAGCAAAACTAAAAATTTAGGAAGCAGAAGAAGATTCTGGAGTTTTAACAAGAGTTTTAAAACATCATCTATGGACTACAAAAACAGGTCATTGATCACATTCACTAGAAAGGCCTGAAATCTGAAACAAATGTGTAGGAGCAATGTCTGGACTCCACATGAATACTCAGGAGTTCTGATCCTGAATGATATGGTAATTTAATTTTCAGTTGCTTGAGTAATTTTCATTTACTCAAGTTTACTACAAATGGCCACAGTGATCCATATACCACCGATAGTAGTCAAGGTTCCCTTTTAGCTATGTCCATATCAGTTCAAAATTACCAAAAGAAAACTTTAAATGTTCTCAAAACAAAGCACAAAATAACAAATACCAACATGGTGAATATATAAATTAGCTACTTATCATCCAAAATTGTATTAATGAATCATAACATTACTTTGAACTCCATAAATACATGTGTCTAGATTTTGTCCATTTTTAGTGAAATGAAAAATTGAGGGAAAGGAAGCTGAGAGGATACAGGTGACAAATAGTGTTCTTAGACACACTTAGGGACTAGCTTTATTCTTTTAAAAGTGTGACGAGAACCAATATGCTATTATCACATGCATATATATGTATGTTCATGTGATAATATTTATCAAATGCTTATATATTATTAATTCTAAATAAAACCTGCTAGGTCCATGTAATGTTACTTGTATGTATATTTTCAGTACCTACAGTTTACCGTTGGATGACCAATTGGTGTGCTCTTCCCTGGGGAAGACCACTTCTCCCATTCCCAGCTTTCCTCAGTTGCCTAAAATACCTTGTATGGATTTGAAAACTCCTGGGCTCTCCCTGGCCTTTAAGGGACACCATTAAAGACCCACTTTACTGTCATTTGACATTAAGACATGTTATTTACTTGAGAGGTATCAAAACACATAGTACATTAGCCAGCTGTCCTCCATGGGGTCTACAGCTACAACAATCATGAAATTGTCCCAACCTTTGGATGTGTCCCAGCTTCTTTCCATGACATGACATCTAGTGAAATGACAGTTTTAAAGGTAACTGTAGACAAAGTGACAATATTCCTAAAACTCTAGGCTAGTTCCTATTTAGTTTCTTCTACACATTCAGAAAAACTGCTTACATCATCTATAAAAGGTATAAGTCTTCTTTGAGGTGACATCTGATAGGACGAGCTTTCTGAACCCCAGGAAAGAAAGATGCATGTGAAGAACACACACACACACACACACACACACACACACACACACTGCTAGAAACATCCTTTTAAATAATCACTGAAAAGAAAAGGACGCAGCCTTTAAGCATGTTTCTTAGTTTACAGTTAACTTCTCAAAGTTAATTCCTAATTCAGTTCAGTGTTTTTTATAGAACATATTAGAAGCCTCTCTCAGTTTTCATTTTGTCTTTTGAAGACCATTATTAGAAGCCTCTCAGCTTTCATCTCTTTCTTCATTTTGTTTCTTGCCGGTAACTACTTTCTGCATTAAATTCTCTCTCTCTTCCTCCCTTCTTCCCCCTCCCCCCTCCCTCCCTTCTCTCTCTGTCTCATCCCTGTCTCTCCTCTCTCTCTCTCTCTCTCTCTCTCTCTCTCTCTCTCTCTCTCTCTCTCTCTCACACACACACACACACACACACACACGTACATCTCCATTTCCTAGGAAGTGAAAATTTCTCTGACTCTCTTCACCACCCTTACCTCCTCCAATTCTTCCCTCCAGGACCCCAACCTCTTCATCCCAAGGCTTCCCTGTGCCCTTCTTCCCTCCTCTCCTTCGCTGAGCACCTTCACCGCATTCATTCTCATCCAGGGCTTTGCAGATTCCTGGGCTGTTTGCTGGTGAGAAATCTTTGCTGCAGCTGCAGCAAGGACTAGAGTCCCCCCCCCCACCACCTTACCCCCACCCACCGCGCACTCGCTCTCGCGCGCTCGGCGCGCGCTCTCATAGCCCAGTGGCAAAAGAGGGCTAGGCTGGGCTAGGCAAAGAGGAAAGGGCTGGGAGCGGGGAGGCATCTTGTCCTCCTGTGAGCCTGCAAGGATGCGGCAGGGGACTGAGACCATGGGGAGGTGCTAACTTCCTCTCCAACCCCCCAGCCGGGGATCCGGGCTGGCATACCCGGCCCCCTGGGCTAGTTTCCTGCCAAGCGCTTCCAAGAAGCCAAAGAAGCTTTGGAAGGCATAAAAAGAAAAGACAAGGGTGCTGGAGAGGGGTACTGATCACCAGAGCCGGTCCCTCCGCAAACCCACGAAGAAAGGAGGAAGGGGATCAGAGGTTGGAGAGGGGACACGAAAACCCCAGTCTGGCGGACTGGCTCAGGAGCCTCCCTGAAGACCTGGGCGCTCTGGTGAGCACCCACTCGGGGAAGGAGGCGGCGTGGGGCGAGGGGCGAGGGGCGAGGGGCGGGGGAAAGGGGAGAGGGGAGAGCGAAAACGGAGGAGGGGCGAGAGGCCCGTGGCGGGAGTGCGCATTCCGGTACCCTATACTAAGGTGCGGGGTTCGGGGATGCTGCGGCCCGGGTGGGGGCCGGGTGCGAGCTGCAGAGCGCGTGTGGCGCTGGTGTTGGTGTGGATGTGAGCAGGCGAGCGCAAGTGAGCCCCAGACAGAGCGCATGTCTCATCCTTGCGAGCAGAGCAGCAGCTAGACCCGCCACCACCATCTTCTGCATGAACATTATCAGCAGGACAGAAAACCTCCCCCAGGGCTATGGAGACTGCGGGAAACATCTGGCAGCTGGCGATGGATTGCTGAGGGGAAACAATTATAACCTCAAAGCGCCCAAACCTCTCTCTCTTTTTATTTCTCGTTTTTTCTTTCCTTTTTTCTTTTTTCTTTTTTTTCTTTTCTTTCTTTTTTCTTTGTTTTTGTTTTTGTTTTTAGCTTTAGCGCCATCGTCCTCAATGCCTCTCTGAAGAGCTTTTAGCAAGAGTGTGAGTGAAAGAGAGGAGAGCGCGCACCAGGGAGAGGATCAAGGAAGATGAGGATTATTTGCAGGCAGATTGTCTTGTTGTTTTCTGTGTTTTGGGGACTCGCCATGGGAGCCTTTCCAAGCAGCGTTCAAATAGGTAAGTAAATGGCTGGGGAAGGGGTACTTCTGTTTGAAGAGAGTTAAATGAGTTGCAGACAAGCAATCCAGGGAATCCTACAGAGGTGCCTTTCCTTTACAATCAGATCCTGCAAGTTCAGATAGTAGATACAGGCTAGTACGCCCAGCCTTGACCCTATTTCCATCTTGCTTGCCAATATGATAAATTAGTATTGGAAGAAGTTAAGGGAAAGCGAGAGAGAGAGAGAGAGAGAGAGAGAGAGAGAGAGAGAGAGAGAGAGAGAGCTCCGTGGCCTTTGGTTGTAATTTATAGCACATTTCTTTAATTAAACTCTTTCCCCAAGAGCAAAAGGAAATATCAAATTTCATTTTATTTTTTTAACCCATTTCTTGCTATTCTGCAACTGCAGCATTCTCTCTATCACAAGAAGAGATTGGGACAAAAGCGTTCTCTCCACACCTCTTGCTTTGTCTTGTTTCCAAATGACAGAATCAAAAGTTAGATCCTTTTCTAGGAACCTTTGCTGGTTTTATTTTGCTTTTGACTTATGCTTTTGCTCTTTCATATTCTTGGGCACCCCACTCCGTCTCTACGACCCTCCCTTCCTCCCTTTGCTTGCCATTCTCCTCTTCTGTCTTTTGATGGGACTCAGCTATTGAATTTCTTCCAGCCCAGCCAAGCCCAGCCTCAAACACTGCATCATTTTTTAAAATGCACAAAACCGAACTGATTGGGCTGGTACACACAAACACGGGGGCAAACTAAGTTCTCTCCCTTCTAAATCTACTGTCCTGTGCATCCACATTACTTCGTTCCTGTCCTGTATTTTGATGGAAATCTCCTTTCCTTCTATCTGCATCCTCACTGGTACAGAGAGGTTTCCTGAACCGGCTTCCTGAAGAGGGCAAGTGAAAGAAAGCCAGTTTAGCTGAATGGTCTCAGAGGGCATTGGGATCATGATGAATTGGATCAGGAAAAAGCTGAACTGCCCTGAAGACTAAAACACTAAGCATGCAGTGCAGGGACAAAAGCAGTGCATAGGATATGGCAACCGAGCGCCTTATTGCATGGGCTTGTTGTTGGAGAGGTTTGACAGTCCTGGGGCTGGGGCTAACATATAAAGCAGGAAACACTGAGAAGCTGCTATCTTTCACAGGTGGTCTCTTCATCCGAAACACAGACCAGGAATACACTGCTTTCAGATTGGCAATCTTTCTTCATAACACCAGCCCCAATGCCTCCGAAGCTCCTTTCAATCTGGTACCTCATGTGGATAACATCGAGACAGCCAACAGTTTTGCTGTGACGAATGCCTGTAAGTAAAATATAAGTTACAGCTAAATTGAAGAGAACTGAAATGAGGTAGTGGATTCCCTTCTTTGTTACAAATTTTCTAGGAAAATATTTCAGGATTCCAACAATTGCCTGATGTCAGAGAAAAATCATAGTTCAAAAGGGTTAGTCTTTGGGATTTTCAGCTAATACATCTTTCTCCTTCCCTCCTTCTCTTCTGTCACCCTTCCTTCCTTTCAGTCTTTTAATTTTCTCTGCCTAGATCACACAAGCTGAATTCTCCTGTAACATTTTAGTATTGTATCTTCTGAATGCCAGTGAAAACTGTACTCAGTCTAGTGTTTTATCCCACCCTTTGTTTTTTTTTTTTTTTCTGTCTTGAGTTTCACTAGAGTAACCTCCTGTGACCCTTTTAAAGAAGCTCTTCCCAATACTAAAGGCCATGGTGGAAAGGCCAGAGGAGTGATGATGTGGAGAAAATATACTTAAGTCCAGCTGGTAGATAAAACATAAGATGCAGTGATGTCATTTGTGGCTGTTCTGCCCTTCTATTTTAGTTTGTAACTACCTCTTGCTGTCTTTATGGACCTGGCTGTCCATGAAACTCCAGGAGGCCTTACCGTGTTACCAGTCACTTTAGTCTCTGATTAGCCTGAATTTTAAAACACACCCAGCTGAATTTCCACACAATGAAACCACATGAGAGACTTCACATAATGCCATAAGCAATCAGTTGTACAAAAGTCCCCCATCAAGATTCTATGTAAATTGATGTGGAAAAAACTGCCAGCTAACTGCATTAATATAAATCACTAATATGTTACCCACCCATGGCATTGGGCTGGCTTTTAGTTCAGTTGGTGATGCATGCGATATTTCAGACGCTTCCTCCGTTTTCTGTGCATATCTACTGCCATGCTAAAACAATGCTTCTGACTTGTCTGAGACGTGAAGAAGTGGTTTCTACGTAAAATGGTGAGTGCTTTGTATCTATTGCACCAAGTTGGAAAATCTTTTAATTTAAAATTGTCAGGACAAGAAAATAAACTGAAAAGAGAAAAACATAAAAAGGGGTTTTAAGAGAAGGAATGTATGTATCTATTTCATGAGCTAAAGTGCTTGCATTCATATTATTTGTACTTAATTCACTTACCAGATAAGAGGATGATTATTTTGGAGGTCTGTTTACTACTATATTGTAGAACTTAATTTCATGAAGATGTTGAAGCTCTTGACAGTTTTATAAAATATTGTGGTTATATATTTGTCATGATTCTTATGGCTACTACTATATCGTGATTATTGCTTGTTTTTCTTGGTTACAAAATTAAAATTGGTTTACTTTGTGATGAAAATAATATTGTTTTATTTGGGAATGAAACTAATATTAAAGCAAATTGTGTTATTTTAAGCCAAGGTTCATAAAAAGTATAGATAGACTTGTGGATAATCATTTATAAATTTTAGGGGTTATTTTGTTCATACACCAAGTACTACACAATATATCAACATTTCATACAATTCTACTTAAAGCATACTCACTAAGGAGTAATGGTTACACTTTTTTATTTTACATTTATCATGTGTCTCTCCTAAGAGTCTGTCTCCTAAGAGCTTGTAAACTAATTGATTAAGCAAATATATTATTCAAAGTAAGGGGACTTTTGTCCACAGTGAATTACATTTGAATACTATCACTTAGTTTTTTTTTGTTATTTTTTATTTTTTTTATTGAGAATAAGAAAAAAAATGTTTCCACCTCCTCCCAGCCTCCCATTTCCCTCCCCTCCCCCCACTCTTCTCCC